GGTGCTATTTCTGATCTAGATTGTTGAGTTTCTTTCCTTTGTATGTTCATCGTTTTTTTTTGTATGTTCATCGTTTCACTATGGTTTTAATGAGACATTTCCTTCTTCTTTTTTTAATTCCAAAATAGTTTGTTTGCGAAGTTCATATATAACTTCTGGATTAAATAGCACATAGAGGTATTCATGAAAATGAAGAATTTACTAGCTAATTAATGGTTAACTTTAAACCCTAATGGCGCGTTAGTGACGCTGATGTTTCTACTTTAATTAATTGATTATTTTTCTTTTTGTCGACCGACGAAATTGATTTAGTGACATAAAGGATCAGTTTTGGTGATGTTGTTGTATATGGTTCCAAATAAATATTGATATAATGTAGACTGGTTGCTAATTTAATTTAAGATGCAGTTGTCAAAAAAAAAAATATAAGATGCATTAGTGACTCTATCTAATGATTTTAGACGAGAAATTTTGATAAAGAGAAATCAAAGTCTAATTAATGAAGCTGCGCGTTAAAAAAGTTTACATTGATATTTTGGGGTGAGAATGTAAGACCAGGTAATGATGATTAAGAAAGATATCACCTAACCTTATGTTGATTACTATCGGCTAATGTACACTTAAGAGCTAAGAGAATGTTTTAAATGAATAGAAAAATATCTTTGTTGGTTGGTGTAGACGTATAGTTGCTTTACACACGAGGTTTGGCGTTGAAGATAATTTTTATGACACAAAGTTTTTATGACTTCTGATGATTTTTTCAATTGCGCCTAGAGTTTAGTTATCGAATAAGTACAACAAAATATAGGCGTTGGAGATGATCTTTTCAGCTATCAGAGAAGATCCAGTCAACAACTGACATAAGGATGTCATCCGGTTTAGGTGGAACTGTGCCAAAACCCAACACCTGGATCACAACTCATACTTTCAGTCTTTCACATTTCATCTGTCCTTTCGTTCTTTGTTTTTTTTTCAAAATTATGATGAGAGCATAAACTTCAAAAGTTTTACAGAATTATTATAGATTATAGTTTTTTTTTTAAGATTGTAAAATAAACATTATTAAACTTTGTGAAGTTATCTTTAGCACAGTTATGGGATTAGAACTAGTGCTTTTGTTTTATATATTTCATATTATTGTTCAGATATCATTTTAGGCTTAACATTCTCGCTCGAGTCAATCCCAATACCTTCCTATTATTTTAAGAGGCCAATATTCAATAGAACTTCTTGGGCCTTACATTAGGCTCAGTCATACCTTCTTTTTTATTCAACATACTTTCAAGTTTCAACACTGCAAAGGAACCAGAGGCTTTTTGATATTTGAAGGATGTTTAGTTCCACAAAAACATGATTAATAGTTTTTCTCCCGACTGTGTTACAAAAAGAAAAAAAGAAAAATTATCTTCAACTACCACAACTCAAATGTTTCCAAAATGTGTTTTTTTTCTTCTTCAGAACATAGTCCTCAAACTTATAATTCATATTAATACCAGAGTCAGAGGAGTAGCTCTTATAATCCAACTCCAAATCAACGGTACCTGAGAAGCAGTACCCAAGATGAGCAAAGAGAGTCAGTTCCTTTAGAGATTCACAGAGAAACCATCACTTATTTAAATATATATGAACTCTAGAATAGATTACCTAATTATTATTTATAGTCGTCATTCTCCAGCAATTTCATCGCCTTATTCCACAAAGCACCAATCTTCTTAAGCGCTTTCCCATTTTTCTTTTTTGCACTTCATCATCGATATCCTCAGAGTAAGGAGAGTTTGTTTGATTATTGTTGTTTCCAGCAGAGAGCATGGCGGTAGCTGCTTCAGCAGCTTTTTGCCATTGGTTTGATTGAACTTTGAGCTCCCTGAGTTCTGTTTTCATTTCTGAGTTTGACGCTTGAGTAGCATCTAGTTGCTCAGTGACTCTAACCGCTCTCTGTCTACTCTTGTCAGCCTCTTCCATTGCAACCCCTAGCTTCATGAGGGCGTCTTGTAAATCTGTCTCCCTCTTGTGGATATCTGACTTCAGTGTCTCGTTCTCGTCTGAAATGATCTCTAGTTCTGTCTCTTCATCCATCAAATGCTCCTTTAACTTCTCGATTACCTCCCTCAGTTGTTTCAGCTCAGCTTCAGCATCTGCCTCTTTCTGGTTCTTCTTCTTCAGTAATAGGTGTAGGTTATCTTTCTCCTCTAAGATACACTTTAACTCTGTTTTCTTAGCCACCAACCTTGCCTCTAGCTTGTCTATCTTGGATTTAGCTGCCTTTAATTCAGAGTTGAGTTCAGCTTGTATCCTTAAGCGAGAGGAAGCCGCTACATTCCCCGCTTGGACTTTTCTACCAGAGGCTTCTAGAGCCGCTCTCAGTCGCTCTACCTCACATCTCAAGGAAGATATTTCTTCCTTCATCTCATTTGATTCCCCAAGTTTTAAACTGGCATAGTCTTCCAAGACCTGAGTCTGAGCCTCCTGGAGCTTAGCAGAAACTTCTTGTAGCTGTTTCCTGGGCTTTTCTACTTCTTGGTTTGCTAGCTTCTTTGATGTCACAGACAGTGTGATTTGATGTTTCGCCTTCTTCAGCTCCTCTTGAAGCTTTGAGACTAGCGACTCAAGCTCCGTTATTCTGCTCGGCCTCTTCTTCTGTCAGCAAACAAACATGGCAGCGTTACGGCAATCCTAATGAAATTAACAGACAGTTGAGCGAATACTGGTTACATTTTCATCTCTCAACTACTCTAAATTAAATGGTTCACCTAATGTTATATCCCATAGACACGAAATTAAATGTATGCTACATTTATCCTCATCAAAGTCAATTCAGTTATGATGGAACGGCTTATCTTATATCATGCACATAACAGATAATTTATTGAAATCTAAATGCACCAACAAAGAATAAAATAATGAAAGGATTGAATATGAAACAAGCTTAGTACAAGAGAGGCTCATACCTCGGAGACAGGACTTCCTGGAGATCTACGGTCTGGAACAACTGGACGTTTGTCCTTTGGTGTTCTGTTATTAGCTGAGATAGGAGATGAAGAAGAGTCAGGCTCTAGAGCTGCTAACTCCAGTGGCCGAGAAGCCCGAGGAGACAGCTTCTTGGGAACATAAGGAGATCCATTTCTGCCCCAAAACACATACCAAACCAAAAACAACAAGATTGACAAAATGAAAATAACGAGGCTGTTCACATTCAAGCACATGTGCAAGAGAATTAATAGTAGTAACATATCACTACAGGCCATAATTTGTTGACTAGAATTGATTTATTGTTCCAAAGAGAGATGAGAGAAAAAATTGTGATCAGTTTTGATCAAACAGAAGCAATAAGTATTGATGACCACAAGAATGCAACCTTTAAGATTCAGCGTTGAATATAACCTCCCATAAGGAAACAACAAAAAGGGATAAGAATCAGCCATAAATACAAAGAAACTATAAAAATTCAAAATCAAGATATACCTTGCCTTTTGGGTCTGTAATATTATCCCTCCAATGCAGAGAATGAATAAGTGTTGGGTTTATCCAATGTATCGCCTGACCCACCAACAATTTTATAGAGAGCTCATGAATATTCAATACAGAAAGATGGAGACATATATTACTATCCAGTGGCAGAGAAAACATAATGGTAATTATTACAAAGAAATAATAAGCGTAATAGAATATTTCTTTACGTCTGTAATCAAATACACCACCAGAAAATGAACATCTTAAAGAGGAAACAAAATCGTTTCTTGCACTTTTTACTAGTGTCTTAGGTTGACATAGAGATTCGTTGGATTGTGTCTTTGGCAAACATCTGATTTTATAGCAAATATACTGCTTCCTTTTTTGCTTAAGACTATTCTATTCAAACGAACCTGCTTATCCATAGCTCTAGAACACAATCAAAAACTTCGTTCTTAATATTCCAACTCAATGGACAACAAAACAGTTGAGTCATTATTTTGAAATGAGACATGTTGTGCATCACACTATCAAATATAATTGAAAACAATTGTTTAAGAGGTTGATGTGGAAAATCAAAACCAGTACTCAGTTAACCAGGACAGGTTCATCATGGGGATTTGAAATTACTCACAGTAGTAAACATTTGGTTTTGGATTTATGGTTTCATGATTTCATCTTCACGGCTGAGTTCTGGGCTCCATCTACAAATAGTATGCTCTTCCACTGTGTAGTTCTCCAAACACAAAGGTAGATTCAAATCCTCTTTGTTAGAGTTACCACTCACATGGAGAGTCAATAACGTTTTCGCAACACTCCCGCTTAACCGAACAGCACAATGGACATCTGACCACGCTCTTAACCGGTTACTGTCACCAGACTGAACCAACACAGAGTATTCAGAGTGGACAAGAGAAGGATGGTGACGGTACACCACGAAATCCACACCGAACTGCAACCCTGACCTCAAGACCCAGTTCTTGGACCGTAAATGTGAATAAGCCTTGAAAAATATTGGGAACTTTGGTCTTTTTGATCTCATGTACATCCATGTGTCCACTTCCTTCTCCAAGCAACGGCCTTGAAGATATATTTTGATGCATTTGAGATTGTAGAGCAAATAGAAAGCTTCTTCAAAGGATAACTGAATCCATTTCTTGCCTTTCTCAGCGGATAGGACGAGTCTGCCAAAACAACAGCGGTCGAGTAGCTCAGCTTGCTCTGGCTCAACCGCTAGAAGGACATTGCAACTAGAGAGGGAACCAGAGGACTCTGTTTTGGCTAGAGAGAGTTGAAGCTCTGAGACTGAGTTTGCAATGGGCTCCGCAAGAGCTTTGGCTTCAGCACCTTTCCATTTCCATCTCGGCGCCATAGAATAAAGCTGCATATATATATATATATATAGCATTAAAAATCAAACCTTTTGAACAGAAATAAAGCAAACTATTAGCAGCAACAGGTATTACACTCTAGGACCACACGGACATTACAAGTAACTCAGTTATTAACAATTGACATACTTCGAAGAACCAAAGTTAGAGCTCAATTGAAAAAAAAAAAAAGCCAAGAACTTTTGCGTTAGATAAAAGGAAAAATGCAGAGTGAGGATTATTTTTAAAAGGTCAAGCTATCTAGTACCAACAGAGAGACATGCACAGACACACCAATTGCATAAAACATAGCACAAACACGCAAAATTCATCTTAGCGTGCCTATACATACTTAAGCTTTAGAGTTTTTTTTTTTAACTTCTTTCAGGCATTTTATCGAACAGTCACCGTGCACTAATATTTCTTGGGATATACACAAATTGCTCACAACATATACACATTGAAAAATGAAACCTTACAGAAGTTTAATTAAGGGGCTGTTCGTTTCTCCATTTATAATCTCCATTCAACTGATCTATCTATGTGATACATCTAAATGATCCATCCAGTTTTTAGGGATTGTTCGTTTTTCAATCTAGATGAATCATCTAAATAAACCATTTGAATGAATTTCATGTTTGTTTCTTTTTTTTATTTCCATTCAAATGAGTTTGATAAACAAATTACATATATACCCTTGTTTTGATTTAATCATATGTTTGCTATTAACTATAACTATACTAATTAATATTATTTGGTCTAAAATGTATTGAAACTAAATCAACCTCCAACAATGCGGGAAAATGCATTTTTGTGTTTTGGCGGAAAAACGAGATTTTTCGGATTTGGCATGAAAACAAGATTTTTTTGTTTTTTAGGGAAAACGAGGTTTTGTGATTTTGGCGGAAAACGAGATTTTGTGATTTTGGCGGGAAAACGAGATTTTCGGATTTGGCGGGAAAACAAGATTTTCGGATTTGGCGGGAAAACGAAATTTTCGGTTTTTAGGGAAAACGAGATTTTTCGGATTTGGCGGGGAAAAGAGATTTTTGGATTTGGCGGGAAAACAAAATCTTTCGGATTTGGCGGGAAAACTAAAATTTTCGGATTTGGTGGGAAACGAGATTTTTCGGTTATTTAGGGAAAATGATATTTTGGCGGGAAAATGAGATTTTGTGATTTTGGCGGGAAAATGAGATTTTTAGATTTGGCGGGAAAATTTTTTTTTCGGTTTTTAGGGAAAACGAGATTTTTCGGATTTGGCGGGAAAACGAGATTTTTCGGATTTGGCGGGAAAACAAGATTTTTCGGATTTGGCGGGGAAACGAAATTTTTCGGATTTGGCGGGAAAATGAGATTTTTCGGTTTTTTAGGGAATACAAGATTTTTCGGATTTGGCGGGAAAAAGAGATTTTTTGGATTTGGCGGGAAAATAAAATTTTTCGGATTTGGTTGGAAAACGAGATTTTTCGGATTTGGCGGGAAACAAGATTTTTCGGTTTTTAGGGAAAACGAGATTTTGTGATTTTGGCGGGAAAATGAGATTTTGTGATTTTGGCGGGAAAACGACATTTTTAGATTTGGCGGGAAAACGAAATTTTTGGTTTTTAGGGAAAACGAAAATTTTCGGATTTGGTGGGAAACGAGATTTTCGGTTATTTAGGGAAAATGATATTTTGTGATTTTGGCGGGAAAATGAGATTTTGTGATTTTGGCGGGAAAATGAGATTTTTAGATTTGGCGGGAAAATTTTTTTTTCGGTTTTTAGGGAAAACGAGATTTTTCGGATTTGGCGGGAAAACGAGATTTTTCGGATTTGGCGGGAAAACAAGATTTTTCGGATTTGGCGGGGAAACGAAAATTTTCGGATTTGGCGGGAAAACGAGATTTTTCGGATTTGGGGGAAAACGAGATTTTTCGGATTTGCGGGAAAACGAAATTTTTCGGATTTGGCGGGAAAGCGAAATTTTTCGGATTTGGCGGGAAAACGAGATTTTTTAGATTTGGTGAGAAAACGAAATTTTGTGGGTTTTTTCAGTTTTCGTGTGTCACAGAATAATTTTATGTTTAAGTTTGTATTTTGTGAATTACAATAGGGATATAATAGACATTATACCATTTTGAATGAATCATCTCCATTCAAATGATCCAAATTCGTTCAGCTGAATGGACTTTAAAATTAAGCCTAAATTTTCAAAAATCATTCAAATGGATCATCTGAATGAGTTGTACTTTTTGTGTCTAAACGAACAAAAAATTCATCTCCATTCGAATGAATCATTTGAATGAAGAAACGAACAGCCCCTAGGTGCACCAAATAAACTCTAACTTCATGACGATTCATTCAGAGACTATTAGTTACCTTGATTATCGTTGTTGATTCTTTTTTATTAATCCTCCGCGATCTCGTCGATAATTGGAGTGAGAGTTGATTTATTTGATTTTCAAAAGGTTCAGTAGATTCTCTTTAACGTAAACCGTTCCCAAATTCCCGGTTTAAGTTTCAATTACAATAAACTACTACGACTGCGTCGAAATTAGGATTTTAACCACTTTCACACGTGCGTGGACTTATACCCCCACGTGCAGATTTCGAGAGTCTCCGTCTCCTCTCAATAATAAAAATTATGACACGACGTAAAGCGAAGCCTAACAAAAAAAAGAGGTAACGCACAGTGTTGTCCAAATAGCTGCCAAAAGATATGGAGTTCTTGAGACCCGATTCCGATTCCGAATACGCTTTCCGATTGCAGATGGAAGAGGCCCTCGCTGCCTCTCTCTCCTCCCGATCTCGTACCCCTTATCGCCCACCGTCTCCTCCCGTCGTCGCCACGTCTGGATTCGCTATCGTTGTGGACAACGGTTCGTCGACGCCAGAGACCGTACGTCGCAGAAACACCACTAGCGGAGAAGGTAACTCGAGAGGGAAAACAGTCTCTGTTCCACGGGGAGACGCTCGAAACCCTAACAGTAAAGTCGGTAACTTCCAGAACGCTTTTGTGAGACCTTCTCCGACGCGATCAGTCGCCGCCGGCGAGGGGAGTTCGAAGGTTGGTGGTGGCGTGAGGGGGGGTTTCAGGGGAGACGTGATGTACAGGGTTTACTTCAAGGGTTTGGTGAGTGAAGAGAGTGGGAGTGGTAAAGGGAAAGTGAGTGACTTGGTGGCTGGGTTTGGGGTTGCGATTTGCGACCAGAGGGATGTTCTTTTGTTTGAGTTGAAAGGACAGTTGGTTGGGCGTGGCGCGAATCGTCAAGGTGCGGAGATTCAGGCGTTGACACGTGGGTTGACTGAAGCGTGGAAGCTTGGGATCAAACATGTTTCTATCTTCTGCGATTCTTTCCCCATTTTCCAATACGTAAAAAGTTTCTGACTTTTTTTTCCTTTTTTTTTCATTGTTACGTTTCAGTCTTGCTTGCTTTTGCTATTGCTCTTGCTGCTGTTGAATCTGGATAGAAATAGCAACTTTCTCAGTGCTTATATACTCTCTTTTTGATTTGTTTTTAGAAAGTTGCTGACTTAAGTTTCCTCTGTTTCGGAATCAATAGATGTAGCTAATGTGTTTTTTTTTTCTATTGGGGTTTCATTTGAAAACTTTCATGATTTGAGGAAAAGAAAAGTTTTATAATGTGAAGAAAAGAGTTGCAGTGACTACTCTTATCATTCTATATCCGTGACCATTTTGTAAGCCATTGTTGTTTTTTCATTGCTTGACATTATAAAGAAGTTGTTGCGCTACTACCTTCACTAGCTATTAGAGAGTAGACTGTATAAGTTCTAAGGTCATTTGCTTGTGTTTGTTCTAATGGTTTAGAATTGCAGTTTGTTATGCTTTCTTTACCTAGCTTTTTTTTTTGTCTCCTATATTTAATAAAATTTTATTTGAATGCAGGTCAGGGGAATTTGGACGCCTAAGCAAAAGAAGATTGCCATGCTAATGGATGATTTGCAACGGATCAGGCAACAATTCTCGTTTAGTCAAGCTGTTCTGGTGGCTGGGAATGAAGTGAAATATGCTTATAAACTTGCTAGAGAATCAATAGTTTCGCAAGAAACCCCTCCTCTTGAAAATCCCCGCCAAGCAAAAGTAGCTCGGAAAGAAGAGTGTCTTATCTGTTTCAACGATATAGATCCTGAGCGCATGTTTTCTATCGGTAAATGCAATCATCGCTTTTGCTTTCAATGTGTGAAGCAACATGTCGAAGTGAAGCTGCTTCACGGAATGATTCCGAATTGTCCTCATGATAAATGCAAGTGTGAGATGGTTATCGATGCTTGTGGCAAGCTTTTGACTCCGAAACTGGGTGACATGTGGAAGCAAAGAATCAAAGAGAATGCAATACCTGTCACAGAGAGAGTTTACTGTCCTTACCTGAGGTGTTCCGCTTTGATGTCCAAAACCAAGATATCTGAATCTGCCAAGAGCTTACAGTCTGCTTACCCTGCATCTGGAGTCAGGAGATGTGTTGAATGTCGTGGTCTCTTCTGTGTGGACTGTAAAGTCCCGTGGCATGGAAAGATGTCATGCACTGAATACAAGAAACTGCATCCTAATCCTCCAGCAGATGATGTGAAGCTAAAATCTTTAGCAAGCAATAAAATGTGGCGCCAATGTGGCAAGTGCCAACACATGATTGAACTTAGTCAAGGATGCAATCACATAACTTGCAGGTATCTCTCTTAACACTTTGATCATCCTATATTTCAATCTGTTCTTGTTTAACTATATTGGTGGCATGTTCGCTTTGGTATTGGCATCAGATGTGGGCATGAGTTTTGCTACAACTGTGGAGGAGGATGGAACCAAAAAACAGGGACATGTGTTAAGCAATGTCCGACCTGGAACGAAGCATACATCATGCGTCAAGATCCAGGGCGTGCGTATGTGGCACCTAACAACTACTTTGATGATCATGATGATGATGAGGAGGATGATGATTATGAAGCTGATGAAGATTTTGATTACGGCTATGGTGACTACCCCTTTAATTTAGGCCAGCATATGAATGATGTTAATCCTGAAGAGCCCTTTGATCCCTTCTTCGACCTGCCAGATGGTAATGTTGCTCCCTTCTAAATCTCTGTAAAACCCTTGAATCTCATAAGTGATTTCGTACTGAAACCACTCTCTGATGATCATGTAGGTGTGCTCTTTCTCCCACATATGTTGTCTCCCAGGAGCCGTCAACAATTTTACGACTCCGATGATAATTCTGATGATGAGGAAACGGGTCAACCACCTCATTTGAGACAGAGTAACGCCCCGTCTGGTAATGAGACAACAAGAGTTAATGCTCATTTGAGACAGAGTAATGCCCCGTCTGGTAATGAGACAACAAGACTTAATGCTCATTTGAGACAGAGTAATGCCCCGTCTGGTAATGAGACAACAAGAGTTAATGCTCCACTTGAGGAAGAAGAAGAAGAAGTGGACGACTGCCCATACTTTGGAGGGTATGGAGAGTACGGTATAGTATATGACTCGGACGGCTATGAAATCGAGGATTACTCGAACCCTTTCCATCCAGATAACTATTGAGGTGTAATTTGGAACCAAAGTTCGTCCTTTTTTTTTTTTAAAGTCTCCAGGGCCAAACTCTTTCTGACCTTTTGGGCTGTAATATTTTTGGAGGTTCATTTGTTTTTACTATGACTTCTTGTTGCGTTTGAGTTTGGGAGATTTAGAAAAGTGCAAACTTGGAATTTTAGAAACCTTGCGTCTGAAGGTAGGGCTTTTGTTTCACCGTATTGTTTAGTTCCGTCTCGCTTCTGTTAATGAGCTTTGAATAGCGAGCTGAAGAATCTGAGCTATTCAAAGCTCATTAACAGATGAATCACATTGCTAAATACGGACGGAACCAATCACAGTTACATACGGTTACATCTCCGTATTGATTTTCAACAATGCAAACTTCTCGTAGTGAAGAATCTGAGGCGTATATGAAATGTCACATTTATGAATGGTCAAGTGGTATATTGTTCTGTGATGAGAAAGGTTTGTATACTTTGTGGTTATGGTTTTATTCCTTGAATGTAGAGTTAATTTTGTAAAATATTTTTTAATGGTAATCACATACTCAACAATCGACAAAGAACATTTGTTTGTTAATTGCTATATATAATCTATAATAGATTGAATTAGACATCTCTCTTATGTTATTCTAGTTGTGAATGGATTTTTAAGATAAAGACAATTTGATCTCGTTTAAGCTTTATCTGTCACTTTTATTCATATTCATTTCACCCTGTATTTTATTTTTTATACATAACTAGGACGGCTGTATTCTGATTATGACATTTTTCAAATTTAGTGTTAAATCACTTGACTATTTTCTATTAATTGTGAGTTGTGGCATTCACAGACATTGCAATAAAGAAGGAAACACTGTTATTGGGTGGTCACTTTTATTCACAACATAATGATGTCCTTTCTCTTGTAGATTTGGTTGCCCTCTGCATAGTGCAAGAGACCGATATGTTTGTGTGCAAGCTCTAATACATGGGGGACATGTATGTTTCATCTCGTGAGAGGTATGGTTACGACCTCTTCAATTTCTTGAAACAATTTATATTACAAGGAAAGTACAGTTTAAAAATTTGGTGCATTTTCGTTTAAAATGTTTGACCTTTTTTTCTAGTTGTGCACCGCATCCTTACCTGATATTTTGAACCTAGGATTGTTATAAACTGGATATGAGGATCTAATAATCACATTTGTATGCCGAGTGCATATTTATGATTGAAATGGTCCTTGTCCAATAAAGTTGATCTTGACATTAATAAATAGCGTACAATGTGCACACGAATGTATAGGAAGTTATTCTATAAGTATATTAGTGTCAATGAGTATCTTGCGCTTCATAGTTCATAATACCGTATAAACAAATTTAGACGTGCAATCCATTAACTTGACAACTTCAGTGATTTGACCTCATGAAACACCCGAACTCTTCAATTTATTAGAAACTTGGATTGCATCGTCACCATCAACAATTCTTCTCAATGATAAATCTTTGGGAAAACGACGTATTTCCACACCAGAACTACCGTATAGTAACAAATGTACACAAGCTTTCAGCCTCGTTCTAATTGCACACCTTAATACTATCACGACCAATTTCCACACACTTTAATAGTTCGAAACTCGTTTCCACACAAACCAAAATTTGCCTTGGTTTTTATGGTTTATGATACTAACCGATAGTAAACCAGGTGGTATCGGTTGATACTGGTATAATCCGACCCGAACGAAGATCCGGCTAAGGTTCGATTGAAACCAGACCCGAACTCCATTTAAAAATCCCAAATCGATTTTATCTCTTAGAACCCTAAAATTAAAAAAAAAACAGAGCTGAGATTCAGAGCTTAGACAGAGACAAACCCAGAAGGTATGAGTAATGAATCTGGAACTTCGAGTGGAGTCTCTAGCGCTCGAGCAAGAGGTCGCGTTTTTGGTGTACCGAAGAGATGTTGGTGTGGAGAATTAGTTATCCCCTTGATGTCGAAGTCAACCGCAAATCCTTACAGAAGATACTTTCGGTGTGTCTTTGCAGCGGAGAAAAGGGTTAGTTTCTTTCCCTAGTTTCTTTGTATAATTTTCATTGTTCAAAATGTGAGGTTGAATCGATTTTTGTATGTTTGTAGCTGAGTAATGATAATCATGCTTATAAATGGGTTGATGAGGCGTTGTTGGATGAGGTTGAAGCATTGTCACTTAGGATAGGGAGAATTGAACAGACAATTCTAGCTGATCGTGTGGAAGAAGAGAGGAAGAAATTTGAAGAGTTTGAAATGAAGTTAGAGACCGAGATTTGTGCAAGAATGGAAGATGTTGTGAGTGAAGCCAAATGCGATCAGAAGAAAGCGCTGGTGCTTGTTTTTTTGGGATGTATGATCATGGTTGTGTTGTCTAAGTTGATATAACCTGTCTCAGTTGGTCCAAGAACTCTCCATGGTCTTAGTTTATCGAATAACTCTCAACGTTCTCAGTTTGTCCAAGGACTCCTTAGTGTCTCAGTTTTTTTATGTTTAAGATGATGATGAGGTTTGTATTATTAAATGACTGTTTGTTTAAGATGATGATTCAAAGATGAGAATCATTGAGCTTAAAAACATACATAAGAAAATAGCAAATTCATTAAAATATCATACATTGAGTCACAAACCGAGAAACAAGTAACCTAGAACCTCGAAAAAACACCTAAAACAAGAGTCATAAGCCATTAAAGTAGTCCAAATACCCGAGAATCAATGTCTTAAAATGTGAAAAAGGAACCTAAAGCCGCGAAACAAGGTCCTAGAACCTCAAAAAAAAGCACCTAAAGCCAACAAAGAAGGCCATTAAACAACAAAAACAGCCAACACTTCTTCACATCCATCTTCTCTTCTTCACATATTCACTTCTCAAGCTGAGTGGGTTGACTGGAAGCACCTTGAGAGGCTTCAGTCTGAGAAGATTCGCCACTCACAAAAGTCTGAAAATGCATCACTCTAACACATCAGTCATCACGCAACATATCCAGAAAAAACTAGAACACAAAGAAACAAACCTTTTTCTTATGGAACCTGGAGTTATGATTAGGAGCACCACATATCCCACAATGCATGGTCCGCTTCAAGAACTTCTCTTTTTTTTTCGATGGTGATTCATTGACTCCTCTCTTTCTCTTTCTATCCGCTTTAGTCACCTTCTTACGGCCTGGTTGATCTGGGATCTCAGGTTCAACTATAGATGGTTCCGGTCCTACAGGCCAGAACTTAGCTCCGCGCAATGGTACAATACCCTCAGAATATGTACGCCTCCACGTACTTGTCCGAAACCAGTGAACAACAAAGTCTTGAGCCTCTAAACCTTTCGACAACATTACTCCATAGGCGTGTTCACAAGGAATCCCTGTAATCTCCCATCTCCTACAACTACAAGTTCTATTTTCCAAGTTCACCCTATGTTGACATCCGTAAATGGTAACTCCAAACGTCTGGTTGGTAGACGGTCTAACCGTGCATAAAGAGGCTTTCTCATGCAAAGTCTCGAGCATCTCAGTGACATACGGTGTGCAAAGCCCTTCGTGGTTGGTACAAATAACATCCCTTTTAGCTATACGAACCATCGCCAAGCGAGCTATTGTCTCCAACATAGGTACAAAGGGCTTGTCTCGGGCTTGACCTATGGAGTTGTTGAAAGATTCAGTTGAGTTGTTCTCAACGTCTTCACAGTAAGGTCCAAGCTTGTGAAATGCCCTACACCACTTCTCTGGCTTTGTCTTCATAACGTCGTCATATACACCTTGATCATACCGCTCAATCTCTACGAGATTTGCTTTGTAATCAGCCTCATTGTAGCTCCAAGCAAGGTTCCAAATCAGTTTTTTCATTTCCGGTTTCTTCCCATGGTTCTTTTTCAAGTTACCGTAGATGTGTCTAACACACATCCTATGCTCAATTCGCGGCAGTGCTCTCTTCACAGCTGCAATCAATCCCTTTTGACGATCTGAAACCATAACATAACCCTCTCCTTCGTCTAGTCCTAGATCAACCTTGATCTTTTCCACAAACCACAACCAATTGACTTTGTTCTCCACTTGTACCACAGCCCATGCGATAGGATAAATGGCATTATCTCCATCACGACCCATTGCCACTAGTAGCTGCCCTTTCATCCTAGACTTCAAGAAACAACCATCTACTCCAATGAGTGGCCTACACGTTTCTTTCCATTTTCTCCTCAGAATGTCAAAACAGACATAAAATCTGTTAAAAACGTCATTCCCATCATCATTTCTCACGCAATCTAGCTCAACCGAAGAGTTCTCATTTGTCTCTCTTATCTCAGAGCAGTAATCTCTCAGCCGTCCAAACTGCTCATCATACTCTCTTTCAATCCATCTGAGGGCCTTGTTCCTAGCATGTTGGCATTGCGGCCTACTAACACTGATCTTCCATTTCTCCATGATCAACTGCTCAATCTTCATGGGCATGAAATACTCTGGTTCTTCTCTGATCTTGTCAACAAACAAGCGAGCTATTTGTGGAACTTTGAGCATCTCACAAGTACCTGTAGGAACGCAGGTATGATCCTTCTTCAATATCTTCACCTGCCATTTGTTGGGATACTTTGCTGAGGATGAGCAGTAAATGCGCCAAGAGCAACCTTTGCCTTCACAAACAAATGCAATCTTTGTCTTGTCATATCTATTTTGCTTGATGTTCAGACCCGATTTCAAAGCATAGTCGAGCACTGCTTCCTTAAACGCAATTCCACTGATGAACACTTGCCCTACATACAACTCTCCACTGCCTCTTCTAATATTGTTGCGTCGCCTATCAATAGTCCTTTGAATTTCTTCTCCCTCTTCTTCTTCATCATCCTCTGTCTCTGGATACATGTTATGCTTCACTTGAGGTTCATCAACAAATCTAAAAGCTTCTTTCTCAATGTTGTAGTCGTTACGCTCTCTGCGATCTTCACCATCAGAATCGAAATCAGGAATCTCAACATTAGGAGAATCGGTAGCCCCTGGGTCGAAATCAGGTACATCATTCCACTCAACATTCACGTCAGTCCATTGTTCCATACTCGATTTCTGCAAAACAGAGAGAAAATAATCAATTCACAGAAAAAAAAAAGAGACAATACAATAATGAAAGAGAGAGATAGAGAAAGCGAGAGAGAGGGAAAGAGAGAGAGAGAGAGAGAGAGAGAGAGAGAGAGAGAGAGAGAGAGAGAGAGANGTACATCATTCCACTCAACATTCACGTCAGTCCATTGTTCCATACTCGATTTCTGCAAAACAGAGAGAAAATAATCAATTCACAGAAAAAAAAAAGAGACAATACAATAATGAAAGAGAGAGATAGAGAAAGCGAGAGAGAGGGAAAGAGAGAGAGAGAGAGAGAGAGAGAGAGAGAGAGAGAGAGAGAGAGAGAGAGAGAGAGAGAGAACTGTCACAATTACCTGGAGAGAACAACCGTCTGGAGAAACAGGGTGGAGGAGGAGCAACGCGGGGGAGGAGGAGCAACGATCGCCGCGAGAGAGAAAGGTTGTAAGGGTTTTTAATTGGGTATTATTTGGGGAAATCGGGTCATGGGTGATTTATTAGATCCAATTGGTATTGGATTGATTTAATTTGGTTTACATTCTCTAATCGGGTCTTAATCGGGTCGTTTTTGGTTTAACTAATTTACTCATTGGTTAATTTTAGGTTAAGGGAAAACTAACCAACTTTAAACCGTAATATGTTGGTATTGGTCTGTCTTTCAAAGTTTAGGGGGAAACGGGGTTTAAACTATTAACGTATGTGGAAATTGGTCGTGATAGTATTAAGGTGTGCAATTAGAACGAGGCTGAAAGCTTGTGTACATTTGTTACTATACGGTAGTTCTGGTGTGGAAATAGGTCGTTTTCCCTAAATCTTTTAGCATATTCCTCTTAAATAATATAACAACCCCATGAAACCACTTTACTTATCTAATTTCTTTTGCTCTGTTCCATAGAACTCATTTTATATTGCCCTGGGGAAGGTTATATACCATAAAGATTCCAAAATGCAGTCGTATATATTGGACTTTGGTCATTTTCAGTGGGTCTACAACCTGAGAGGAAGAGATAACTGTTAATCATTGTGAGAAGACAAAAAAAGAAAAGAACAAGAAAAAAGAAAACTCTTACTGTTCCCAATGATTCGAGGAGCGCTTCTTGGAATCATCTGGATGACATATTGTGTTTGCGCATCATTCCAACAAGAGACGACGTTCATCTACAATGGCTTCCACCAAGGAGACCATCATATTCACCTACAGGAAGGTGCAAAAATCATTCCAAAAAAAGATGTCCTGCAACTGACTAATGCAACCTCAACACAAATAGGTCGTGCTTTCTTCGCCAAGCATATTGAGTTCAAACCATCTGAACCTGTCTCGTTCTCTACTCATTTTGTGTGCGCGCTAGTCCCTGTAACTGCGGTGAGTAGCCATGGCATGACGTTTTTTGTGTCTCATTCCACTGATTTCAAAGGGTCCCAACCATCTCGATACTTCGGGCTTTTCAACGCAAATGGATCTGCTTCCACACGTGTGTTGGCTGTTGAGCTTGATATTGCAAAAGCTGAAGATGTTCTCGACATCGATGATAATCATGTTGGGATTGATGTGAACAGCGCAGTGTCTGTGGTCTCTGCTCCCGCTTCTTATTTCTCAGACAAAGAAGGTCGGAAGATAGATATGAAACTCGTGAGTGGCGAACCTATCCAGGTTTGGGTGGATTATGAAGGAACAACACTCAACGTTTCAATTGCTCCTCTTCATAACCAGAAACCAAGCCGACCTCTTTTGTCATCAACATCCATCAACCTTACGGAGATTGTGCAAGGTAGAAGAATGTTTGTAGGGTTTTCAGGTTCAACGGGGTCAGGCGTGGTCAACCAGTATGTACTCGGGTGGAGTTTTAGCAAAAGCATGGCGTCGCTTCAGAAGATTGACATCTCAAAACTTCCCAAAGCTCCTCATCCTAGCAATAAAAATAAGTATAAATCTATTCTGCTTGATGTTCTGCTTGGTTTACTAGGTTTATTAGTTTTGGGGCTTCTCTTGGGAGCTTATATCTATAGGAGAAACTTGTATGCGGAAGTGAAAGAGGATTGGGAAAAGGAGTATGGTCCACTAAGGTATTCCTACAAATCTCTGTACAAAGCAACAAAAGGGTTTAGTAAAACTGAATTTCTTGGTAAAGGAGGTTTTGGGGAAGTCTATAAAGGAACACTCCCTCAGAACGTAGTGGCTGTGAAGAAAGTATCACATGACAGTGAAGAAGGTATGAAGCAATTTGTCTCTGAGATCGTGTGCATGAAGAGTTTAAAACACCGGAGCTTAGTTCCACTTCTTGGGTACTGCAGGAGGCAAAATGAGTTAATACTGGTCTCTGAGTACATGCCAAATGGTAGCCTTGATCATTACTTGTTTAATCAAGATAAACCGGCTCTCCCATGGTGGAGAAGATTTGCTATTCTCAAAGATATCTCCTTAGCTCTTAATTACTTGCATGCAGAAGCTGACCAAGTTGTTATACACAGAGATATCAAAGCTTCTAACGTTTTGTTGGACGCAGAGTTCAATGGAAGGTTAGGAGATTTTGGTATGTCAAGGTTATATGAAAGAGGGGCTGATCCAACCACAACAGCTGCAGTTGGAACTATTGGTTACATGGCACCCGAGCTTACAACATTTGGGGCTTCCACTGTGACTGATGTGTATGCCTTTGGTGTTTTCTTACTGGAAGTAACTTGTGGTAGGAGGCCTGTGGAGGTTGACTTGCCGGCTTCAAAACGTTTTCTGATCAAATGGGTGTGTGAATGCTGGAGAGGGTCCTCTTTGCTTGATGCTATAGATCCAAGGTTGACTGAATTCTCATCCGAAGATGTCGAGAGAGTTCTGAGAGTTGGTTTACTCTGTACAAACCTTGCTCCAGATGCAAGACCGTCTATGGAACAAGTGGTGCAGTACTTAAATGGAAATGTAGCGATGCCTAAGATTTGGCCATATTCTCCCGGAATTGGAGCTCTCACTCCAACGACGCTTTCACCAAAACAGCTCTCGCTCGAATCACTATCACTATCAATGTCTTCTTCCTTATCCAACAACTCAATGTTTATTACCAATACGATCCAATACGGGAGTGGGCGGTGAAACTTTCTAACAACTTCCCTTATCATCTTTGACCTCTTGTCAGCTACTGTTTTTCAACCATTTTTATTCGCTTTTTGCTTCTCTGTATGCTCACATCATGTTCATTAATGTCATTCTCTGTAAAAGAACTGATCTTCTAAAATTTCTAAACTTATTTATATTTTTTTTCCTCTTAGGAATCACTTCTTAGTCATGTCATCAAGTCTTTCTAATGCAAATTGTTTCAACTTTTCAAATTTGTTTTAACTGAAAATTGTGTACTTTTGAATCAAAGCAAATATTTAGTTAACCAAAATCTGAACTAGAACTCAATCTCTATAATATTATTTGAGAAGTCACTTTCTTAGGTGTCGCGCTCACGTTAACTCTCACACTGGTTGATTACTATGATACCCCTAATGAATTAAAAATATATTTAAATATTATTATTTCCTTTTTAAAATCTTCCAAATAAAATAAAAAGGAAATATTTATAAAATTTACAAAACTATTTAAAATGAAAAATAAGTATATATATAATATGGTTTCATAAAAAAGGAAAGTTTACAAAATAGTAATATTTAACTTAAATATATTTTTAAATAACATAAATTATACTTTTAAGTAATAAAATACTTTATATCTATATCTTCTTAGATGAAAAAATATTTGTATATAATGTGTTTTCATTAAAAAAGTTCATACAAATAATCTAGATATTAGAAAAGAAATATTTTTTTAAAAAATAATTTAAACAATAAAATATATTTTCAAATTAATTATTTTTTGATATATCTATCTATTTTATTAGATTATTACATAAAATAATTAAGTAACATAAACTGATATATGTTTAATTGACAAAAAAATTATAATTAGTATTATTGAAATATTTTTTAGTATATTTATTTGATTATAATATCTTAAAATTACAGCAAAATATATAAATTATATTTTACTTATATAATATAATTTCTCAAAAAAAATCACATTTTTACTGCATATTTTAATAGATGTTAACTACAATTCTTTTAATATATCATAACACTATAATTTAACAAGGTAGATATATTATAATTAATAGTTAAAATTATCTGCTTTCCTAATAACTCTTTTGATGTTTAATTTTCTGTTTTTATGTTTGTGGAATTTAATATAACCATAATCTAATACTTAAAGCAAATCAGAATTCCTTATTTTTAGAATTATTTTAAAAAAAATTCAGTTTATCATCCAATCAATCTATGGCATAAATTATTTAGAGTTTATAAAATATTTTAACTATTGTAAATATTGATATGTGTTCATAAGCTTTCAAAAATTTATTATTACTTAAGTAATTTAGAATCACACACTTTAGTTTTTATTTTTTTCGTTCTAAGCACAAAAAATCTTAAAATACATAATCTTACTAAGATATACTTATATTTCGTAGATAACAACCAACATAAATGTAAATAAAATAATTAATCAAAAATTTAAGATATTTAGAATAAAAAAAAATTATAGTTGAATTCATAAAATAGAAAGAATCCAATATATATATCCAAATGATAATACTGACTAAATATAATATATATATATATATATAAAATTCTAATAACTAAAATATATAATATTATTAATATAAATTATACATACAAACTATAAATTAATATAAAATTTAAAGTAAATATCAATCAACTATTATAATATATTTATTTCTTAAATATTTAAGCCCGTGCGGAGCACGGGAAAATCACCTAGTCTGAATATAAAATAGATTCAACCGGGTTTGCAAAGTGTTAATACATATGAACTGAACCAGATTAAAACTAAACCGATTTTTAAAAATATCTGAATGAGGTTAAATTTTATATCAACATAAAATGGAAACCCGATTGAACATAAACCAAACCCTATTTGATACTCAAACACTCATACCTAATAGGTTTCTTTGAGGGATCATGATCGGCTATAAAATTTCATCATTACTATTATGAAGTACGGGAATCAAATATCATTATGAAATTTTGTTTCGCATGAGCGACAAGAACTTGGCTGCATTCGAATAAATCCAATATTTAATATTTAAAAATTTGGAACCGAATCAAAATATTTAAAGTATTCAAAAATACCAGAATCACAATATATAGTAAAATATATTAATTATTTTAGATTTAATATTCAAAATTATCTAAAATACCTGAAATAACCTAAAGATACAAAATATCCAAAACACTATTTTTTTTTGAAATAATTAAATATTCTCCACCCTAATATATGCATCAAACCATTTTCATGTTAACTTAAGGATACATTATTTAAATTAATTATATATTGTCTTGATTTTGGAAAATGTAAAGGGATCAAATTTTGGAAACCATTTTAGTCTACTGATTTGACTGAGGGTTAATTAATGCGTCTATACTAGGAGATCCATGTTTCAGTCCCTGGCGAAATCGGTTTATTAAACAATTATGCATGTTACGAAAGAAATGCTCACAAGAGATTTTCAACATGATGCAAGTAAGAGTAACATTATTTCTAGGACTAATTTTTGAATCCTTAACTTATTTTATTATTATTTTTAAGTTAAGAAACAATGTTAAGAGACAATAACAAAAGTGCAGATTATTTAAGGGACTTTACGGATGTCCCTTAGCGTTTTTAGTTAAAAGTTAAGGGACTTTTCCGCTAAGAGCAAGATTAATTGGGGTCCTTACTCTTGGGTCCTTAACACACATATATGTATATGTATATATTATATACATATATATAATATATACATATAATAATCTTGCTATAAGGGACAACGCTAAGGGACCACTGATAATGTTGATCTTATGTTGTCTCTTAGTAAATAATTTTATTTTATTTTAATAAGTAATGACATATAAAAGATGTGTTTAAAATAAAACATATAATATTAAAATTGAAAACATAAGAAAATTATAAATCAAAAGAGTTAACACAAGTCTCACAAAGCATCAGGAACACAAGTCTAGACGGGAATGCAAAACTAAGAAAGGGAAACTGTCGATATACCATTTGGGAGTGAGTTAGAACCTCCACTTTATTCTCACTAGACTTTCTCCATCCTTCAAGCTTTACATCCCCAAGTATTTTACTATCAATTTCTAGTCGATATGAAGGTAGATACTCACTTGCCCAATTACTAAACCCAGGACCACCAAAATTTTCCAACTTAGAATCAAAACGGAGGAAGAACACATACCTTGCTTAGATTTGGATAGGCGGACAAGCTTTGGATGAGTCAACAGATCGATGTGGAGTGAGCTTTGGATTTCGATTGGGGATGATAGGTTCTGCGACGGACCGGAACTCAAGCGTACTGACGCAAGTGGTGTGAGCTTTGGATTTCGATTTGGGGATTTCGATTTCGGAGTGAGCTTTGATTTCGATTTGGGGATGATACGCCGTCAAGATAGGTTTTAGCCTTCGGAGAAGATGAAATAGAGAAGGCATGCTGCTAGCTAAGCCTTAAGGACGAAGGCTGAAACTTCTTAGTTAAGGCCCGTTTGCAAGGTTTTTTCATGTTTTTGATTTAATTTTCGACCCAAAATATTTAAGAAACGGGCCTAACAAACGCTGATAATGTTGCCTTAAACTCGGTCAGACGTGAATATTCATAGGACGACTCAGGTGATGCACATATAGTATTATTGGTTATCGAATCGTCTATCTACAACTGCGGAAGAAAGTTCCTTGGGTTCTATGGCATTTGTGGAAGGCTTGAAACCGTCTAGCATTCGATAAGCTCCAGACAGGGTCTACAGAGATTATTAAAATGGCCCTAGATGAAGTGGTGGCTTGACATCAATGGAGTGAGTAACACGCTCCTGAGAGCTCAACAGCTTTGCAGCGAGTGTGTAGTAGATGGCTTCCTCCCGCTTGTGGTTTTCAGAAATGCAATGTTGGTGTGAGTTGGGATTGGCTAGTGGTAATTGTGGAGCGTCATGGATTTTAAGAGATGCGTAGGGTGCTCCTATCTTACATAGTAGAAGGTCGTTCAGAAGTTAGCTTTACAAGAGAAGCTGAGTTATTGAGTTTATGTTGGGCAGTGGAGAGTTTACAGTTGTTGTACAAGAGGAACGTCGTCATTGAGTGGCCATTTGCTTTAGCAAGAGAAGCGATGTTACTACCACAAAACTGAAAGTAGGAGTATTTCCCTTGAATAGTATTTGCATTGATCATCAGAATATATAGTACAATCAGTTGAGTATATACTCTGGTATCTTTACAGGAATATAGCAGAATAATACTTATGCTATTTACTAATAGTTATCTTATCTAATACCCTCCCGCAGTTGCAGCGTCGGGTCACAGACGCCAAGACTGGATCTGAAGCTCAGGAATAGTGTAGAGGGAAGCCCTTTAGTGAAGATATCAGCGTATTGTAGTGCAGCTGGTATGTGGAAAACGCGAACCTCTCCCATACGAACCTTTTCGCGTACGAAGTGAATATCTATTTCAATATGTTTGGTTCGTTGATGTTGCACAGGGTTCGTAGAGAGGTATACTGCACTTACATTGTCACAGTAGACTACCGTTTCTTGGCGTAGAGGTCGTCCCATCTCGAGGAGAAGGTTGCGTAGCCAACAAGCTTCTGCTACGACATTAGCAACTCCTTTGTATTCGGCTTCAGCACTTGATCTGGAGACTGTTTGTTGGCGTTTTGCAGACCACGAAATCAAGTTGTCTCCCATGTTAACGCAGAATCCCGAGGTTGATCTTCTTGTTGAAGGACAGCCGGCCCAATCAGCATCTGTGTAGGCGGTGAGCGACATTTTTTGATGTTTGAGAAGTTGAAGACCCATCTTCTTTGTTCCTTGTAGGTAACGGATCACGCATTTGAGTGCTTGGAGATGAGGTTCGCGAGGGGCATGCATGAAAAGGCATATCTGCTGGACCGCATAGGAGATGTCGGGTCGAGTGAATGTCAAATATTGTAGGGCACCCGCGAGGCTTCGATAATCTGTCGCATTGGCCAGTGGTTTCCCATCGTCTTCGGTGAGCTT